AAAATCTGTCTGATTAAAAAAATAAATAAAAATCCATTGCTTCATTAGAAATTACTTTGTTTATGTTTGCATACGAAACTAAGCTGATAATAAATTTTCGAGATTCTATGACGAGAAGAAATTCGCTTGAATTCACTAATCGGCTAAGTTCTTTGTAGTTCAGTCGGTTTAGCGCACGTCAGATCTAACGATGATTTATAAAAGTTTTACTTTCCCACCAGCTCCATGTTCTTGTGCCAGGCACAAAACTTAGTTGGTAGAAACAACTTTTGAAAACTTAAGAAACAAGACGATGGCCTTTCTGAATAATAAACTTTTCTCAAAACGGGTATTAAAAACTTAGACAATTATACATAGATATATACATAGATCTTTAACATATTTTTACAAATAAAAATGTTATAGGTTCCCTCTGCCAAGCAGGACACAGTTTCGAATCCTGACAGAGATTTCATATTTTTCTTTAATAAGATTTCTTGAATATTCTGGCCAGTAGAAGAAAATAAATAAATATACTTTTTAAAACGGAGCGTCTATTTAAATATGAGTGTAAGAGGAGAGAGCTATGAACAAAAGATTTCTTCTCCCATTTATATTTCCCGCCGTTATGGACATGATTTTATCCGTGATATAATAACACCGTACTTTACAGACGGAACGGAATGGCTGAAAGGAAAAGGAAAGACAAATAGGCTTTGTTCTCAGAGAAACTTTTATATTAATAAAGACTTACACAAAACCATATATAGATATATACACATATCCCACGAGGAGAATACTATATCTACACAATAAAACAGAGTGTAAGGAGAAACAAAACGGAATGGTCTTACATATAATACGGAGATACTCCTATATCTGGAGAAGCCATGTTTAGGACTCCAGATTCAAATGCTTTGGTTTGGTTTGGTTTACGGAATATCAACCGCAATGGGTTATTTAATGCTGACAAGATTTTTATTGCAGGTATTTTTTAAAAAATGAATTACTGGTAATTTTTTCCAAAAATATATTGCTGGTAATATTTTTTGTTTCAACAATATATTGCTGGTAATAGATTTTTTCCTTCAAAAATGTATTGCTGGTATTTTTTTTTTTCAAAAATGTATTGCTGGTAATATTTTTCCAAAATCTATTGTTGATACTAAAACCTATTTTTATGCTTTCATAGTGTTTTGACCCCAGTTTTGTGGTTAACTATTTGCCTATAGCTGAGACCTTAACAGGTGCTACCATCCCAGATCAATGTGGACTTGGGAACATCAGTAAATAAGAAGTGGTTCTACGCTCCTCAAAACCTACTGATTAGAGGCCTTGTTGCAGGGTGTAGTTTATCGTCATAGCCAGGACGCCTCATTGGAGGATTCAAACGGTCTGGATTCATCTTCTATGTCACAAGTGAGGATATATTCCACAAACAGGAAATAGAGACTCTTGAATTTTCTCTAAGTGAGGACAGATAATTTATTTCTGTATGTGCTTCTAAGCTGTACCACGTGCTGGGGGGGTGCAGATTTAGCCTCAGCACGGACCTCTTGAAAGGGATTAAAAAAAAGTAACTCCTCGGTTTGGCTCCTGTAGACTGATTGAAGGATTGCCACATTCGCCATTGTATGGAATGACGTCACTAAAGCGGCCGTCACGTAACTTCCGTGACTTCATCTCCACTAAATAGAGATAATTGAAATTTTAGGTGCGCTCAGAGAAATATTTTGAGCTAGCGTTTATATGAACACTTTTCCTTCCTTTAAGTTAAAGGAATTTTCTTCTTCCTTTCTTTCTCTCATATTTTTGTATATCCCTTTTTTGTGTATGCAAATAAACATTTCCTACTTCTATATTCCACCTTGTGCTAGAGATTGAGTCTTTATTATGTAGTGGATCACCTAGAGGTGAGGACGATGTGAAATGACCCGAGTCCCAAATCGGTATGAGGTCACAAGAGGCCCACTAACATTTTTTTAAGTTAAAGACATTGAAATCTGACAGGTGAAACAAAAATGAACAGCAGAACGAGAATATTTAAGATTAATACAAAATTTATTTACAATGCAGACCTGAGTAGCCGTGAGTTAGATGGTCTGGTAATTGAAGGGTGGTCGGACTGTTCGTGTCGATGACGGGAGGTTAAGGTGTGGTCGTCCTCGTCGCGCCGATGACGGGATGTTGAGATGCGGTCGTGTCGACCGTAGGAAGTTGAAGTGCAACTCTTTCGGTCGTGTCGACAGTTGGAAGTTGAGGTGCGGCTGTTCCGGGCGTGTCGACCGTTGTACTGGTTGTGTCGACGGTCAGGCTGGTAAGTTGATCGCTGCTGGACGATTGCTGCAGATGATCTCTGCTGGTTAGTTGGCCGGGTAGTCGAAGTCAGTTAATTGATGCGTGGTCGGCCTGGTCTGTGCCAGACAAGAACGGGAAGCTGGCGTTGAGATTTGGTGCTGGTGTTATGACGTTGTTGATCAGATCGAATATCCGGTGCTGGCGAGTCCGGTGTTAAAACCAGCCGTAGTATTATAACCGTAGCATATGGGATAGGTTATTTAAGAGCTAGGACGACATTTAGGCAGCAAGAAGGGACAGAATGCGAAAGTTGAAATGTGCAAGAAGCCAGAAGTAAGAATAGAAGTAAAAAGCACGACAAGCATCCAGTTGACAGAACTTAATATAGAGACTATTTCTTTTCCTCCTCTCTCCGATAAAGGATTTATTTTTAAAATTACAAAATTTGGCACAAAGGCCGAAAAGGGGAGGAGGTAAAAAGTCTTCACTATCAGCCAATTCGACCCATTAGACCATTCACCATAAGAACTCGTCCGTCACCAATCAATCCTCCAAGCACCATAATACCACATCCACGCTAGGGAACAAAACGTCATAATAATTTAATGGCTTTAAGCGTCCTCACCTTATCAGCTCTATCTAGGGCGAGCCCTGAAATCAGTGGTGAAGGACCTAATTCTGGGACTAGCTCCCGCTGCTCAGCTGCTCCCGGAATTTGTCCAGTAAAGAAGAGACTTCCAGTACACAGCCATTCTGTTATGTTCTAACGCTACACGGGAACAAACGAGTTTGTGGTGGGACAATCTACTCGAATTTAGCGAAAAGTCGCCATGTTATATTAAGGGAAACCAATAACAATCACAGGTCTGGCAAAATACTAAATATCTCAAGGAAAAATAAGCTGAGATTTGCTACGAAAAATGAAAGTGCAAAGATGGTCATGCAATAATGAAGTCTAGGTTCGTAACACAAAAGAAACTAAAAAGTCATTAGATCAGTTCTAAAACTAAATGTAATTAAATTACACGATGAAAAGATCAAAGTCAAAGCGTCCTATTCGTTCCTGTTTGGCAGCGGCCAACGATGGCTGCGACAATTCTTCCGCCTAAAAGAGAGAATTGTCCACTCTAAACTTCCAAGAAGCCAGGAGTAAGAATAGAAGTAAAGAAAGCCTAACTTGCATCCATTTGCTAGATAAAAAAAAATGTGAATGTAACTTATTACGCGGCACGTCCAAGGGCCTAGGCCAAAATAGTCAGAGGACTGCGTTTCTCCTCTCTGACCAAATTTGGCGAGAAGTCGCCGTGTTATATTAAGGAAGACCAACAATAACCACAGGCCTCGTAAAATACTAAAAATCTCGGGGAAAAATAACCTGAGATTTGCTACGAAAAATGGTGTAAAAATTGTCAGGATGTGTATTAGGACTAGGTTCGTAAGACAAAAGGAACTAAAAAAGTCATTAGATCAATTTTAAAACTAAATTAAATTAAATGACATAGTGTGTAGGGAACACGATGAAAAGGTCAAAGTCGACGCGTCCTATTCGTTCCTGTTTGGCAGCTGCCATCGGCGGCCGCGACAATTCTTCCGCCTAAAAGAGAGAATTGTCCGCTCTAAACTTTCAAGCTGTTGTTGCTTTTATCGATTCTGTCACCTTTAACCTTAACCCTTTCATGTGGGAAAGGAGGAACAAATTTTCCACAAAAGTAGAAAAAAGTATATTGAATCAATTGCTAAATCTGCAGCTAAAAAAAACTTTGTTTATTGTGTCGAGTTAGACCATTTTCAGCATATTCTTACATATTTCAGCATTTTTTTTACTCATTTATAAGTCTACCATTCGTTCTTGTTTTGAATATTGCTGCCGACTCTGGTCTGGTCTAGTCTGGTGCTCCTGCTATATATTTACATAGACTTTATGAATTTAAGCGCAGTACTAGATTTGTGGGAAGATCTTGTCAATTTACAGTTGAAATGGCAAGAGATGCAACCGTAAGTTCTATGCTGACAGTTTCTTCTATCTCTCTTCTAAATTTGATCTTCAAAAATTTTAAATGTAAATGTCAATTGTTATTTTCTATCTTCTTATTTCTTATTATTTTATTGTTCTCTATCCTGCAAAAAAACGAAGGGTGACTGTGGTGAACAGTCCCATAGAAGCAAGCGAGCCAGAGTGGCTTGCATCTGGTGCATAGGAAAATAAGGGTCTTACCTTAACATGCGTCACGTGGCATCGGCAAGTTTGCTCCTTGAAAATGGCATTACTCTCCCGTCTAGCCATTCCAGTATGTGCAGTAACAAGGGTTTTTGTACAGTTTGACATGCTTTGACCAATAGCAAGTCGTGTGCTGATTGGTCGAACTGGAGGAGGCTATTTACCTGGGTAACTAGAATAAAAGCGAAGAACGCTGATTGGTTGGTCGACCGTGGTGTTGACCTGATAAAACAGGGATGAAACAGTGAGAAGGAATGACGGATTTACGTGTTGAAGGGTGCGGAAAGCAAGAAACGGCGGATTGGACCAGCGAATTGTACGAGCGACGTCGTAGTAACAGAGACTCATTTAAGCAACAAGCTATTTCGGCCTTCCTCCCAATCATGGCGGACAGAAGTTTTGATATTAGGCTGATACCTGAATTCAGTGGGGATGCTACCGATCTACCAATTGTAGAATGGATTTAAAATGTGGAGTTGGTCTGAAGAAACTCGAGTCTTTGGAGATGCCATTGTGCCTGCGAGCCGGGACACTCTCTCTCTCTCTCTCTCTCTCTCTCTCTCTCTCTCTGTATGTGCAGCTGACAAAGGAGCAGAGGTCAGATGCAGAGTAGATTAAGCAAACCGTTATAACTGCATATGGGTGGATTCATTCACTGCGTGTGATCAGTTTGTGTCCCGACGATTTCGGTCAGGAGAAACCGTAGAGGAATTTTTAGCAGAGTTGAAACGGCGAGCTTTGTTGGTTGGCGGCCAACTTCCTGAATGATGGATGACGTGTGCATTTGTTTCTGGACTGCCGCAACAAGTCAAGCAACTTCTCTGAGCATCATCCAGAATGGATACTATGACGTTGGACAAGACCTTGATTCACGCTCGGGCCGTTATAATCGATAGCAAAGAGCCGGATGAGTCAGTTCTCGCTCAACAGACGAATACTGACGTTACTGCACTGGCGGGCGGCATTGTTTGCTTTAAGCGTTTTGGTCCCAACCACCTGGCAAAGGACTGCAGGCAAGGCTACTCAGAGAGGACGGCTACCCGGACACGAAGATCCAGCCGTGAGATACGGTGTTTTTCGGTGCAACAAGGTTGGGCATATCTCATCAAAGTGCCAGGGAAACAGATCCGGGAACAGACTTCAGCGCCGGTTTCTTCCCCAGGAGACTGAAGAACACAGCGCTACCTATCATTGAGGTGGCCGTAGACGGGAAGAAATGCACGACCCTGGTTGATTCAGGTTGCTCACGGTGAGCAAATGCGCATGTCGCAATTGGAGACCAATGAAGACAGAAGTCCTAACTGCCGACGGTAATGTACTAAAATGCCGTGAACAGGGCAATATTATGTTGAATTTTAGTCATACTCAACTTGTTTGCATTTAAGCTTTAATTGTGGGCGGAACACTACTTGCGTTCGATCTTCTCAGGATTGACGCAATCAGAGAATTAGGAGAGATGCACATCAATCCCTCAGGAGAATCACTTTTTTTAAAGAAAATAAGCCCAATGTGTTGCTATTTCCTTCACTGAACCCGACTTTAGTGTAGAGTTCGACCGTCGTAACAAAGTATAGACAGCCTCATGGAAGTGGATGACTGGACAACCACCTATAACCCTGGAGAATAGAGTGGCAGAATATTCAGTACCCGACTATGCACGGGACGAATATTAGATGGAGCTTCAGTCGTGGCTGGATAATGGATGGCTGCGACCATACCCCGAAGACTAACTTGATCCACCTAAGTGTCTAATCCCATTAATGGCAGTGATACAAGAGAGCAAGCAGAAGGTCCCTCCAGTACTGGATTACCGCGAGTTGAATGGTTTTGTGGAAACATATACCGCTAACGCGGAGGTGAGTGCACATAAGTTGCGGGAATGACGACGATTGGGCGCGGGGTGAGGGCAATGCATCCTTATTGGACTTACGGAGGGCGATACATGTTGAGAAGGCGCTGTGGCCCTATCAAAATGTCATATTGAAGGGTCAAATATATTGCCTCACCCGACTGGGTTTCGGTTTAAATGTGGCACCTCCTCATGAAAACCGTAATTGACTGTATTTTCGGTTTAAATGATGGTCAACAAAGTTTGCTTCCTGTCACCGTATGCAAGCTCCTGTCAAGTATGGACTAGTATGCAAGGAGCCGACACGATTAGAAGACGGAACTAAGGTGTTGGGCTTGCAGGTCTGGAGTGATAATGGCACTCTCCGATGGAGGCGAGGTGGAGAGATGTCCGATATTCCTATGAAGATAACTCGCCGGCACGTGTTCTCCTTTTGTGGAAAACTTGTGGGCCACTTTCCCGTTTGCAGCTGGCTGCGAGTGACTACTGCGTTTGTGAAATGACAAGCAAGCGCTCTAACCATAGGATGGGATGACCAGGTTGAGGATACCTCTATTAATTGCATGCTAGCCGATATAATAGCCAGAATACGCGAGGCCGATCTAGTAGGAGGAAACTGGTGTGTGAGTGGCCGCGAAATGAACGTGTGCGTAGACGCGAGTTCCGTAGCAATAGGTGTGGTACTAGAGGTAAATGGAAAGGTCATTGAGGATGCGTCGTGGCTGCGCCCGGCTGGAGATGCTAAGCACATCAATTTAGCTGAGCTAGACGCAACGATAAAGGGTGTCAAATTGACTCTTCAACGACAGATTTCGACAGTACATCTTTTTACTGATTCACCATGTGTTCATCAGTGGATTTCGAACACCTTAACTGGTAAGGCTCGAATAAATACGAAGGCGTCTGGGGAAATGCCAGTGCGGAGACGGTTGAACACACTTCGCTAGCTTGTAGCTGAATATGGCTTGACGGTGGACATAACACTGGTCAAATCCAACATGAATCTGGCAGACCGGCTTACCAGGGTGCCAAAGAGGTTGTTAAATCTACACAAGGAGGGAACGGAGCCAGTACAGTCAGTATGCGCCACTACACAGACAACAATGTTGGATGCACATCAAGTGGCTAATATCTACTGAAAACCGGACACCGGGGCATAAAAAGGACCCTGAACTTTGTTAGGTTGATAGACCTTTCAGTACCGTCAGAAGTTGCAAAAGCGGTTGTCAAGGAATGTGAGGCTTGCCAAACCATTAACCCGGCTCCAGTGCATTGGCGAAAAGGAAAATTGAACGTGAGGGACAACTGGAATAGGCTAGCAACGGACATCACCCACCCTGGCGGTATGCACTTTCTGACAATCATTGATAGTGGACCCTCTCGGTTCGCGATATGGCGACCACTACGTCAACAAGATTCTACCAGTGTAGTTCGTCAGTTAGTCATTTTTTATGAACGGGGTCCGCCACTCGAGATATTGACCGACAATGACACAGCATTCACGTGCAAACATTTCAATAATTTTTTGAGTAATTGGGGTGTACATTTGCGGTTCCGATGTGCCTATGCACCTGCCGGGAATGGTATAGTAGAAAGAAGTCACCGAAGCGTCAAAACCATTGCAGCTCGAAAGCAGTGCTCTATGCCAGAGGCGGTTTATTGGTATAACGTTACGTCTAAAGATAATCACTCGCCTACTAGTGCACCAGCTGATGCACTTTATAGGTACCATACCCGTATATGGGGCATCGAGGCTATGTCTCACATTGAACCTCAGAATACTCAAGGGGCATATGAAGTGGGAGATCTCGTTTGGGTGTAGTAACCGTACGCTACCTTTGTGAGCTTCCGGTGCTTCGTCCAGAGATACCCTTCGGCGTGATCCCGTTTCCGCGGTCGATCCGCCCTGTAAGTCATATCACTACACTGACTCGGCCCTGTTTAGGGATTTCACCTTGGTCAAGTGTTACCCTTCGGCGCGATCCCGCCTCCGCGGTTGATCCGCCCTGGAAGTCGTATCACTACACTGACTTGGCCCTGTTTAGGAACTCGCTCTAACTGACCCGATGAATCTTCGTGCGTCATCAACCAACAAGCTACTGCCGCCGACAACTCTCCAATCCGGTAGTCGACCAGCTACCGCCGCTGAGAACTCTACACTTGTTTCGCCGATACAACCATTCAACCTCCCCTTACCGAAACCAGTCATACCGGACCCGATACCGATACAAACATTTTTCTCCAGACACTACACTCTTGTACATATTAGAAAAATAAAAATCGACGTTTATTATTTTTAAACATCTGCCTTTGTCCCCTCATTGTCTTGGCTGTTCACACCGTTCTTCTAAAAGCTTGCGGGGGCGACATCCTTATCGGACCCACAACAAACCTACAAGAACTCAACTTTTAACATTTAATTACAGATATATTTGTAGTGCTACGCCTACATTTTCTCCAATTCTAATTGGTCGATAAATACATACTAAAAATAATAGGACAATTTATCGATCCCATTTCATCATACTGAAAATTTTCCTACACTTTGTTCAAAAACAAGCTTTGCTATAAAATCACTGATTGGTCCATTTTTCGTCCAATCGGGTATTTTTCGTGTACATTCAAAAATATATCCCGCGTTTGTGCTGGGAGCCACCCTAAGTAATATAAATATTGGATGCATTCCGAAAAACCAGTAGTAGTTCCAGAACCACAGTCGAGTACACCCGGAGACAATAGATCTCAACTACTCACCCGTGTTATTCATCCTACTCACTCCGCACGTACATACACACAGATACAGAACTTTATTTGATACACAACCAGTTCTCTGTGGACATCCTAAGTTGAATCAACTCTGTAAGTTGCAAACACAACTGAACAATTTTCTAAAGTAATATTCTATTTCAACATTGAACTCTGAACTTTATACTCAGACAAAACTTCCTTAAAACATTTCCTTACAGTTAAAGGGAAGCTACTTTTTCTCCCTATTCACTCATATTGCAACTACTTGTATTATTGCTGAATTTAATATACATATATTTATTCGTTAAAACAAAATTGGTTCTTCAATTGTTTTTCCGTGATATTTTAAATATTACGTATGAATGTTTATTGCCTTCTCAACACGCAGCCACATTTATCTATTTAACCACTACAACATTGGTGACTACAACACTCAAGAAAGCAAGCATTCTACATTGGTCACCCCGACGTTCAAATTAACATTCTACATATTATCTTCTAGCCGGTCAGTACTTGTTGCTTGTTTTGCTGATTTTTTTTTAAAACAAACCACTATTATTGTATCCAATGCAAATAAATTTTGTATTAATTCTAAACATCCTCGTTCTGTTTTATCATTTTTATCCCACCTGTCAGATTTCACATCCTTAATTTATAAACGATAGTGGGCCTCCTGTGACTATCTTTATTTGGGTGCTCAGACCATTTTACATCGCACCCTCTTCAGGGGGTCCACTACAAATGTTATAAAATTCCCTCCTCCTCATTATACTTGCTTGACCGCCGGTTGTTAATTGTTGTCTGCGGCTAGCTAATTAATTATTATTACCAGACCTAGGTTAATAATGGGCCGCAAAGGCGTCGTTTTTCTTCGCAACCTCAGTTCATCGGTACTCTCAACTCAGTGTCATCCTTTGTCAATTTTTTTGACAGTCCTTAGTAACACTCAGTAACCTCTCGCGTCCTAGTGGCTTTATTTCCTTACTTGGGGCGAAATAATTAAAAAAATATATTTAGAAATAAGAATACAGTGTCCAAATTTATGAAAATTTAATTTTTTTTTTTTGCTCATAGCAGGAATGGTATGATTTTTCGTATAAATTAAAACCAATTTTGTGGAGTTTATTTTTTAATGAAAATAAATATGAATCAATCAATAACTAACAGAAATAATTAGATCCTTAAATTCTTTAAGTTCTTTTGGGGCAAGAAGAAGCAGTTAAGAATTAAACTCTCTGCCTCCGAGCAGAGAGGATCCCCAGACGAGGCTATGTCGAAGGGCAGTCTCGTCTTGGGAAACAGCTACCCTACCCCGTTTTATACGGGCTCCATGGGGAATTTTTGGCCAAGCCTACGGGCTCGGAATGCTCCACATTAAACACGACCTTGTGCCATGTCGTACCTCGTGTAAAGGCTGGTAAATATAGCGGTTAAGAATTATCTCCCTTGATGTGTTCTTCTATCGTGGGAGGTGTGATTTGTTAGCGTTCTTAGAGATGGCTGCGGAAGCAACATGTCGTTTTGGTGGAAAGGCGAAGGTACACATGGCTTAAAAATGGACAGTACATTTTTTACCTTCCCGTCTTCGCGTTGTCGGTCCTATCTTGCTCCTTTTTAACTCACCGACAGCATTTCTTTTGTGGATGATATTTTGGTAGGTTTATATTATTTTCTTCGGATTAATTTCTGAAATTTAAAATTATGTTTGTTCACGGTATTGTGTTCAGTGTTTTTGTTTATTGCTGTACTGAGAATCAGTATTTTGTTCTTTCTTATATTTAAATCTAGAATTATCTGATTTTACTAGCATTCTACAAGAAAATGATAGATGATGATTTTCCTTGTGTTGAAAGAATTATGCTTCTGTTTTCATTTTGAAAGTTTTTTCTTTTTTTTTAATGATCAATTAAAAGTTGTTCGTTTTCAAAATCATTTCTTTTAAAAACTCAAAAATTGACTGTTCTTGAATAAATCATCCCTTTTATTTTTCATAGCCTCAAAGAAAAAGATAACGATTTAAATTCGAAAAATTTAAAACTTTTTTAAAGGAATTTTTTTAAAATTCTAATTTCTTTTTATTTGTTTCAAATAAAATTTAATAGTTTAAAAAATTAAACAACTTTGAATCACTTTTTGTTCTGCACTGCTACTAATTTTTGTTTTATCAGCATAAGCACACCAAATTACGAATATCAATTAATTAAATTATTACAGCTACATTAATTAATGATTAATTAAATGTTAAATAACGGAGTCCGGGTTGCTAATTATTAATAATTGTAAAATTGAACGTCCTGCGGAAGCCAAATCAAATATGATAATTAATTTCCTTTAAATGTGAAAAACAAAATAAAAAAATTTAAAAAAAAATCCCTAATCGGTAGTTTCTTTTTTTACTAAAAACAATCCTGATCACAAAGTAGAAAACAAAACAAAAAGAAAAGTGTTAAAGAACTTATGTATTTTGATTTCCGTAGAACAGAGATCAATTTACATAGCAAACAGAATAATCCACCTATTATTAAATTTCATAAAAATTAATTATTTCTAGATATTTCTCTGGAGTGATTATAGCTGTATGAAAATAAAAAAATGAAAAAAATTATTATTTCTTGTCTTAGTGGTTTTTTTTTTTTTTAATTTTTGTACGGCTCCACGGAAACTGTTTTTCATTTTGATTTGTGTGTGTGTCGTTCAATGAAAAAGTTGCATTCGTTTATTTACTATTGTTTCTAGTTTGAAAATAAAAGTATTTTTCCAACCTGAACAGTTTAGAAAAATTTTGGCGTCTAGATCAGGTCATTTGTAAAATGAACAATTTGTCATAATAGTTTTTTATGTTTTTGTTTGAGTGGACGAATCAATTTTAAGTAGAGTAGATTCTTTAGGAAAAGAAAAAAATGCATTAACTAAAAATAAGATTTAATTGCTCTCCAACCAATAGAATTCATTCAGTTAAATTTATGAACTGATTCTTTTTTAATTTAGTGTTGAAATCTCTGGTCTCAGAAAAACATGTAATTACATGCTTAATATTTTCTAACAATAACCTAAAGTGAAAGGAATGTTAATGGATTTACAACACGACCTTAAGTAGAATTCGACACAACAAAAATGATTTTTTTTCTGATATAAGGGTTTCTAAATAATGCATATATAGAATTCTATCCACAATATTTAGAAAATCCTTAAAAAAGTTAATTTTCAGAGTTCCGCCAAAATAGTTTGAAGGAAAACAAACTTCGTTTTTCAAACTATTTTTGTAGAACTCTGAATTATCTCCCTTACATCAGGCGTAAATTAATTGAATGCAAACTCCTTGAGGTATGAAAAGTCAGTAAACGTCTAAAAAAATCGGGGCAATAATTCGCAAGTTTATCATTTTTAAATATTTCAGATTTATTTATTTATTTATTTATTTATTTTTCGAAATAAACATTCAGATATACAGGGTGATCTGTATGTCTTGTCGCCCCCCCCCACACGACACTCAGTAATTAATACAAAGCAACTGGATTCATTTCATTTACTTTCATTGATTCTGTCACACATTGAGAAGGTCTCTGTATGAACACCATCATTTTCGTGTTAGCCATCTGAAGTAGATAATTAAATTATGTAGGGGTGACAAGACTTTCAGACCACCCTGTATATTCCCATTCGGCTTGTTGGTTCCTTTTTACTCTGAGAAATTTAAAACGATATTTTTGATATTTTTTTTTTTTTTACTTTTTTTCTTTTTTCGTTAGTATACCTTAAAATTAATATATACTATATATTTCTTTGTATAATGTGACCCTTTATATGACTATGTAAAAAAATATAGCAAATTTACATGAATTTATCCTATATCTGTAGTATAAGACAACTGCTTATTGTTTAAAGACAATGTTATTGGAAATGTTAGTGTATCCATAGAAATTCAAAATAAATGAAATAACAAAACTGATTTTGTATTCTATTCTGTTTCTCCTACATACGTCCTCTAAAAGGGAAACCTTTCTTTTGTTTACGTTTCATCACATGATCTTTTACGAATACTGGTTCTTCTTCCACTTCTTTTCCTATAAACCGTTACAAACAACCTGGTGTACTAATGACCATTTATTTCTACTTCATCGACAATCACAAAATACCACCAATAACAACACGTTAATGTACATGTACAATAATAGTACATTCCAGTACACTCATAACTCAATGTTTACATTTTCTCAGCTGAGCTTGCATGAATACAAGTTGATTTCATTGATAGGGAATTATTCTTTGAATTAGCAATTTGTTATGACGTTGTCAGTAACATATAAAGTAGAAATGGTTTTATTACTTTTATTATCAGGTTATTTGATAGTGTAAATCTTCATGTATGTTTTTGGTTATTGAACTGGAACTGCAGTTAGCCTACTGGCAAACATCACTCAGAATTTAAGGTTTATTTTTAAAATTGTAGTATATGATGAAACCCCTTTTTTATTTAAAGGTTGTCTTATATATGGAAATATAAGTCGTATTTGTAGGATTATTTATTATTACAAATCTAAAATTTCTCTTAACTGATTGATTTTTTATAGTACCCATCACTCCAACTCGGAGTTACGTAGACAAACCCTTTCTGTAATTGTTCATTCCACTCATCAGGAGGTGTCAGCAATTGACTGATGATTTTCTCATTTTCATTATATTTGAATTAAGTTAAAAAATATTTTATGCACTTTTTATTAGTGTTAGGTTGACATTTTTTTTTCTTTCTCTCTTCTCTCTGCACATGCATGTATGTGCATGTAGGCGCTTGTACATGTGTGCATATGCATGTCAAGTGTTGTTCCTCCTTTTTATAATTTTCTTGTCTCCTTATACTCTCTCCTTATTCCTTTTCCTTTTTTTTTTTCTCTCTTTTGGTTCTGATTTTTTTCTGGTAGAAGTTTAGGCATTGGATGCTGAAACCCCAGTGGCTGTTCTCACAGCCTTCAAACCTTGTATCTACAACTGCAAGAATTGCAAGTCTTTCATTGTCGAACCTGATATATTCTCACTGGAAGTGAAATGTCTTGTTTTTTCCAGATTGACATTCATACTGAAGTATATGTTTGTTTTTACAATGACCATTAAATCTGTTTTTAGCTGTTCTGCTACATTCATACCCATCATCATTTCCACTAAGGAAATTTTCAAACTCATTCAGTTCAAACAACATGAATATTTTTGAATTTGAAAGCAAAATACTGAAAGCAAAACAAATCTTGATTTCATACTGTGAACTCCCTTTTGTTGTTTCAGAATGAGGTTTTGCATACATTATGGAAAACTTTGTCCTGTATGATGAACTTGGGCGTGGAGAGAATACAGTTGTTTATAAAGGCAGGAAAAAAGGCACAATCAAATTTGTTGCCATTCACCGTATTGAGAAAGTGAAAAGATGTGAATTGACAAATACAGTAAGTAAATAATTTCTCTTTCTTTCTTTCTTTCTTTTTTCTTTTCTTTCTTTCTTTTTCTTTTCTTTCTTTCTTTTTTCTTTTCTTTCTTTTCTTTCTTTTTTCTTTTCTTTCTTTTTTCTTTTCTTTCTTTTTTCTTTTCTTTCTTTTTTCTTTTCTTTCTTTTTTCTTTTCCATTCCATTCAGGGCTAGCAAGATCACAATCTAAGAACATTCCCTTGGTAGTCTTAGATCTCTTGGCTTACCATAATTTCTAAACCTCAATCCAGTCAGTTTTAGAGTTTTTATTATGAATTTAGTTTCTAGTATGTTTTCCTGACCCCAATATCCATTAACCCCTTTAGCACTTAAGGGATGAAAATTTATCAGCTTTTGGCATCCCTAGTTGATTGGGTGGCAAGTGTTAATGTGGTATATTGAAATACAGCATTGTTCACTTGCAGGGGCACTCAGGCATTCTCAGACTGTGTAGCATTTTAAAATTTTGGGTTTGTTTGGGCCCTTGCAACCTGAAAGGGTTAAACTTCAGATTTCTGTCTCATTCTGGTATGCGCACACTCTCTCTCCTCCTCCTTCACCCACTCTCTAAAAATACTGATAGAGTATATCTCTAGTGGGACACCAGAACACTAATCCTGTAGATATTCTATTCAGCTCAGCTCTTTAGCATTCAACATACTTCAAACTGGTCCTGTAAATATTGGCTCTCATTGTTTACCTGACTTTCTGCATTATTTTCAATGATGTCACAATATATTATGGCAGAGTATATAATATGAGGTGAGTTTCAATGTTAACGAATTAAATTTTCCCCTCTTCCTCCTCCTCTCCAAAATCAAAGTGATTAATTTGCTTGAAAAGTTTCCAGTTGAATTCTAGATACTTACTGTGTTGAACTACCATTTCTTTCTCTGGGTTTTGACTACTTTTATTTTACTCTAAACATTGACTATCATTTCTACCTGTCATAGTTATTATCTTTTCTCCTCACTCAGGTGCGCATGATCCATGATTTGAACCATCCAAACGTTGTAAAATTTGATGAATGGTATGAGACTAATAACCATCTTTGGCTCGTTGTGGAACTCTGCACAGGTAAGAAAACTTCTTCATCCGCTTCAATGTCTGCTTGTTTTAAACTCTAAATAATAATCTATATAATAAATGCCAATGTCAGTGTGTCACACTTTTTCAACTTTACTCTTAGAGGCCATAGCCCAACATATCATACCATTTTAGAATCAGGCCGACTCTGTAAGCAAATTAAAAACATTCTGTGCTGGATATGGACATGCAATCCTGAAATTTGGGATTCCCAAATTTTTTTGTACAATTTTTAGAACTTGAAAATAAATTTGGGAATAAATCAAAATTAATTTTCCCCCCATTTTCATTCTTTATTGCTTAATAGAAGTCTTTTGACTTCCATTTTATGTCTTTTTCCTTTTTTCTGTCATCAACTATGGGTTTATATGTGAATTATAATTATTTCTGACTAATTCTTGTTAAACAACTTACTTAGCAATATTGTTAATTATTTATTTGTTAATCTCACATGTTAATTTTACCATGTTAATCAACAGATTTAATCAAATTTTCTAAGTTTACTTGTTCAACTTGTTTTAAACAATATTTATTTATATATTTATTTTTGTTTTAACATGCTGCATAAGTCGTAATTTATTTATTTTAATCGTAAAAACAATGTAAATTTCTAATTATTTTAAGGTTGCATCTTTTTCTTATTTTTTTTTATTTTTTTTTTTTTTTTTTTTTTTTTCCTTTACTAACAGTAATTATCAGCTGGGGAGATGAAACTTGAAAAAAAGTAAAAAGAAAGTAAAAAAGTAAAAAACCCGGAAAACACATAATTACCTTCCAAGTATCCGACAAGTATTCACATAAAAAAGAAAAGGTAAAAAATCCCCCATAAACAACTTAAATAGAGCTCACACCATTGCGATTGGCTGCTGGTCAACTTCCAATCAAATGTGTGACAGAGGGGGTATGGTTTGCCTAATATGTCAGTATCTGCAAGCTGTTAATTTAGATGGGGAGCACATCATGTCTGAGGAGGTCAACTTGGTGAGGGGAGTATGATGTTTGAAAGACCCGAAACTGCCCAATGACCCAATTCAGAACATCACTGATGACGCCCACTAGTGCTAAAGAGCATATATTCAAAGTAATTGCAAAATCATGTGAAATTCACCCATGAAATAAAAATAATTGTTTGTACAGAATGTAAGGATTTACGTACATAAAATTGTCTTTAAATTAAGTCGTGGCAGAAGAATTATAGTTGAATTTTTAATAGGTAAGCTTAGGTATTAATGCAATATTTAAATGCAGCAATCAATTTTGAGTTCTTCTGTAATTTATTGTTGACTATCACATCTACTCCTCCCTACCTATTGTAATCAAGAGCCCTCCACAAGAGCTAGTTTAAATGCCACCCGATAAGGTGGCTTTTAAGCTAGTAATAAAAAAATTCTTCTTTGCATCTGTCAAATTTCCTGTGACACTTTTCATTTCAGCTTTTACTTTTTTTGTAGCAAGTATGAATTTCAATTAGAATTAGTCTCTTCTTTCTAGATTTCATTTCAAAGACTAAATTCTATGAACAAATACTTTATATAAGTGGCATAAAATAATCTGTCAAAGTTCTGCTTCTCTTAAACGACAAAGTAAACTGTCTTCACTTCAAATAATCACCATGGCCATTGGCGCCCTGGCCATTTGATATTCTGTGATATCGAGCAGAATTTCGGAAAGTTTCTTAGTTGAAGTGCCAGATCAGTGATCAGAGACTCAGCTGGAAGCCATAATGTTTCAGATGGCTGGGCTGCTTATGCCGGAATTGTAGAAATCAACCACGGTATATACTTTCATGGCATCATTATTCATCAGCAGTATTTTGTGGATCCTGGTGATGACACCATCCATACTTGAAACCTGGCAAATCTTCGGCTGTGCATTGAGTGTAAACTGCGTTGATAGTTTGGAACTTCTGAGTTATTGTTTGTATCACATCTTCACAAATTCATGTGACGCTGGTGGTACAAGAACAGTCCTGTGTGCTCAATATTTATTTGCTGCATAGTCTACCATTACTTGTAATAATGTTTAATTGTAATAAACATATGTCTGGGTTTTATTGATTTTTATGTTATTCAGGAAGTACAAGTTTATTTTATGCTGCTTAACTGAAGCATTACTGGTAAATGCTAGTGATTTTTTTTTTTTTTTTATATATATAGAAGGCTGTAGGAAAGTGTCATAACTCTTGTGTAAATAATTATAAATGCTATGACATTTATATATACAAAAATAGTCATAGAAAATGAGAAACCACAAGACATGGAAACAAAACAGTTATTTATTATCTGGTTGACATTGGTTGTTATGTCGTGTTAGTCATGATAGGCAGTAATACTAAGTAGTATAGTGATTTTCCAAGCGTAGCTTAGATGTGGCACAAGTCCGAGAATAGTGGGCACCCAGTGAGAATCAAATTCACTACTCAGTTGTAATTTTTCTAGAGAAACAAGCTTGCTAACCATTAATTAATAAATTTCCCTGAGTAAATAATATATAGACTTTCTTGTGATTTTTTTTGTTTGTTTTTTTATATACGTGTGTGTAATGTGTGTCCAGGCAATTTATTTTAAAAAAAAAAAAAGAAAAAAAAAGTGGAGTTTTCTTTCCTCAAATTTTAGTTATGCATGTTAAGAAAGGATAATGTTATCATTGTGGTCTGAAAAGGAAAGAAGCCAAAATTTTCGTCAACTCTCATGTTGACTGCTTGTTTGATAATGAGAGTCACATGTTTGTGTGGAGTCATTTGTTATTTGTTTAGAAAGGATGAATTGTATTAATGATAATTATAATTATTTCATTATAATTATTTGTGAGATTGTAATTAATTTTTAATCGACACAAGGCATTCCAGAATACTTTTCATTATGAATAGATTCTCAGTTAAACAAATTTATGGTTGCTTTAACCTGCTCAGTACTATTGGTTATGAGATATGGTTTTAATTACTGGTACCTCAGAACCAGCCGCTGCAGTAGTGGGAATTCCTCAGCTTGAGAAGGCAGCCCATCAAAAAGGAAAACTCTGATTTTTTAAACTTTTGCTGCCATGTGGCTATATCTGAACTTGGAAAAAAGGCTATGGAAGTAAATCTGGACAGAAAATCCAGAGCAAAAGCACATCTGGCTGTCAACACTGATAACCTTTGGGCAACTCCAGCATCCAAGCTGGCCCCAAATATAATGCCTCATATTCCTTTGGATCTTGTCAGTATGTCCAAGAAAGGAAGGAAGGCATTGTAGTCTACGCAGCACATAGCCTCCATATACCATTGCCTAGGCCTGTACCATGGAGAGGTCACTCCAGCATTTTACTCGGACACTACTCACAAAAGGACTGAATTTTGACCAAACAAAGCACTACCAAAGATAACGCTCATGAGATAAACGGATGTCTATGACTTTTGCTGCTTTCTTGATGACTAATTTTAAAAATATTTTTTGCCCAATTTGTGTGTTTCCCTCAGATTTTAATGCCCCTCTTTTGTGTTCAATGATTTATAATTCTAATGTTGCCAGTATTCAGACTTTTTTTTTCCATTGCTCACTCTCTTACTGAAATCGTTACTAATTACTCATTTCCCCAAATAAATCTAAGCAACATGCCTCTTGACTTGATCTATTTCTTACCTCCCCTAGCTCTTGCTGAACTTTGCAACCATCCTCTTTGCAACTCTGATCATGCTGTAGTATATATTTATATTTCCCTTCAATCTTCTATTAGATGGGAACCTTCTATTCATATTCACTGCTTTCTGTTATCAACATGCTGATTGGGATTCACTTTGTGAGTTTCTTTGGGATTCCCCTTTGATTGATATTTTTCACCTTCCCACTGTGAATTGCATTAGTGAGATTTCTTATTGTCTCAAAGCCAGCATAGATGCTTTTATTCCTTCTTGGAAATACCAGTTGAAACCTCAGTTTTTTTCCATGGTTCATACCAGCATGTTCTGCCATGATAACCCAAAGGAACCACTATTTCCCAGTTTACCAGCATGTCAGTATTGATCACAACAGACACTTATCCATGGCTGCATGTAATAAAGGCAAACATGTCCTTGAAGGAATTTTCTTTGTTTGCTAAGAAAATGAGGTACTGTATTGCATCTAACAACTTTGGCTCTTGTGATTACTGGAGGCTCTGTAATAGTGTATTAAATAAGAGTAAGTTTTCTAGTCCCCCTCTCTTCAATCTGCTGCTGATAAAGCTGAATTTAAATCCTCTCTAAACTCTGTTCTCAACTCATCTGGATTATTGTGGCTTAATTTCCCAACTGAGTCTCTTTTGAGGGATATGCATATGATCCCTTCTACAATTTCTACTATCATCTCTAAATTGGATCCCCACAAAGCTGATGGTGTCTCTGTAATATTCCTTAAGAAGTGTACTGTTGTACTGGCTCTTGTTCTCTCTAAACTGTATAATAAATCATTGCTCATTGTTTTCTGCTTGTTGGAAATCCTCACCTGTTGACTCGTCCAATCGTTGCAACTATTGGCTTATTAGCCTTCTACCTCTTTTTGGTAATCTACTAGAAACCCTAATCAATGCTGTATTAGTTAAGCACCTTGCATCACAGGGCCTTCTTTCAGACAAGCAATATGGCTTTTGTTTCTCTAGGTCAAATGCTGATGTATTGATGATCGTTGTGGAAAAAGTCTATCAATCTTTAGATAAGAAAGGTGAAGCTCTGGCTGTTGCTTTGAATATCTCAAAAAGCATTCGACTGGGTTTGATATACAAGTCTTTTTCACAAGTTGAAAAGTTATGCCTCTAGTCAAATTTTTGAACCGATGCAATCTTTTTTATCAAATCATGAATGGAAACTTATCCTTTTGTTCTAATACAAGTGTCCCCACCCCAGGTCTCTATCCTTGGTCTTACTTTGTTTGTAATTTTCCTTAACAACCTTCTCAATGGCATCAGCTCTCAACTTGGTATCTCTGCTGATGACACAACCATTTATCCCTGTCTTAACAGTAAGTTTGACATGGTCAAATAGGCAGGTGAGGTCATAAATGACCCTCTGCCTGTTGTGAACGTGGGCAAAGAGTGGCTTGTTAATTTTAATGCCTCCAAAACAAAACTACTCTCTAATCATCTGAGAGACCCCTGTCTGCCTTCCACCAACCAGGCTGATGCTAACCTCCAGGAGAGTGACTCATTGCAGTCTCGAGCTAATATTCTCAGCTTACATGAAATAGAAAGACTATATTGAATCCATTGCTAGATCAGCTGCAAAGAAAGGTGGTTCACTGTGTCATGCTAGACTATTTTTCTCTCCAGAATCTATCAGTCTCCAATTTGCCCATGCTTAGAATATTGCTGCCACATGTGGTCTGATGCTCCTGCTATATATTTAGAGATTCTTGATAAAATCCAAAGACGAATCAGCAATATTATTGGTCTTCAGCTGGCATCTTGGCTTCAGTCACTTCCCCAAAGCAATAAAGTTGCTTCCCTGTGCCTTTTCTGTAGAAACTTTCATGGTAATTGTTCAGATGAACTCTTCGCTATGGTATCTAGAATTTATGAATTTAAGTGCAGTACCAGACTGGTAATGTGATCTCTTCAATTTACTCTTGAGTTGGCTTGATATAATTATAAGTTCTATGCTAACAGTTTCTTTTCTCGCACTTCACGCTTGTGGAATTCTCTTTTGGCTCCATGCTTCCCAGTCAACTTTAAGCTTCAAAAATTTAAATGCAATGTCAATCATTATCTACTGCCTTCCTCATTACTCTTCTATTGTTCTTGCTCCTTTATAATGTTTTATGTTTCTGATTCTTCCACATCCACAAACCCCCTTGTGTCTTAGTGTCTTTACTGCTTTCGTTGGGGTGAATTCAATTTAAAAAAAAAAAGAAAGAACCTTTTGAGTTTATAGCACCAGGCCCTGTTATGACTGAACCATGGAAATAATTTCTAAAGAGTTTTCAAATTTGTTTATGCAGATCTATAAGTGATTGTATATTTTTCTTTGGGATATGGACAAAAGTCAGTTAACACAAAGTCGGTATTATATGTTTGATATAGATTGTCACTTTCTGCCATAAGGAATGCAAAGACATCAAGAAATCTTATGCTAACTGTTGATGCATTGACTTTGCTATTCCTTCTCTGTAAATAGGAAAAATAACTTAGCATGGAGTGTATGGTTTTTATATTTAGACCTGACAAACTCTGAAGTGAATTATGAGACAGGTTTAATGATTTTTCTTGTTTTCAGGTGGTAGTTTGGAAAAGCTGATTGCTCAAGATGGTCACCTACCTGAGGATTCTATTAAAAGTTTCAGTGTAGATCTCATCAGTGGTCTTCACTTTTTACATTCTTTGAGCATAATCTTTTGTGATTTGCGCCCTTCAAAGGTGAGCTAATCTTAATTCTTCTTTATTATTGAAAATTTGTTCTGTTCTCTTTCAGCATCATGTCTGTTTAGTGATATGTTCCACTTAGAATTAACCTACTTGGGAGTTGAGTCAGTTGTCTATTTTGACCCTGTATTTAAGCCTAAGTTTAAATTTTGAATGCTGATCTCTAAAGCAGGCAGATTTTCCTCATTTGGAAGCTTGGTGCTGCACAGTCTTTTTACCTCATAGCATTAGCTGAACTTAGTAAGACTTTATCCTACTCATGATTTTTTTTTTCTTATTAGATTGAAGAAATGAATGAATTTTAAATTTTGGGTCATAATGAGCACTATGGAGAGAAGAACTTTTAAACAGTATTGAAATGTCAGTTTTTTTGTTTTTTTTTTATAAAAGCTTTATGTAAGATGCCTTTCAAAAGCAAAGCAAAGTATTAAGAAACAGGAAAATTTAATTGGAAGCCACAAAAAGAGTGCCGAGTTGTTTTATAGAATTCTCAGTATCTTTCTGTAGAACCATATTTCTGCTGCCTCCAGTTTCCTCCTCATCCTTGCTTAAAACCATATTACATTGAAATACTGGAGTTAAGAAATGTAAAGCCTGGTCAGTACTTAGATGGGTGACCACTTGGGAATGCCAGGTGCTGTAAGTTTGAATGCGTGGGTGATGTGGTAATGGCTAGGAATCGTTAATCAGAGAGCCAAGTTCTAATTCCAGTTAGGTTCGTTATATTTTTTTATGTGCAAATACCTTTGAGGAAAGGTATCAACTAACCTCTTCTCCATCAGCTATTTGTCAATTAGTAAAACTTGTCACTATTATTATTATCATTATTTCAAAAAATTCTTTGAGTGTTAAAAAAAAAAAAATTTGGCTTTAAATAAACTGTCAAGCCATAGAAGATGAATCCTTCCTTGAATCAAATCCTCCTCCTCCTCATCTATGAGAGGATTGTCTAGCAACCCTAGCCATATAAAAGGATGGATATTATATAGCAATCCAGCATTTTTTTCTTTGTTTCTAACAAAATGTTTGTTTTAAGAAGTTTGAATTATTATAATAAAATTGCACATAGTTTTTAAAATTAACTTTTAAAATTCATTACAATAAATTAAACATCAGAAGTTTCTATTTTAGTTTTAACTTTCTTCCCTGGAAGTCCAGTTTGATTACTGCTCTAAGCACCATTCTGACATTATTACCCTAAGCCCAGTAGTGAAAATTGATAGTTATTTACAGATTGCAACATCTATCAGAGAGATAAAATTAAAATTTTTATTATAGCATTATTCCAAAATTTTAACACATCAGCAGATAACTATTAATGTCAACAACTGACTACAAATAGTTATTAATTAAAAAACTTAATAATTAATGTATAATATTATCCATAAGTACATGTACAAGAATGTTGTTTTTGATAAAAGTTAAACAAATAACAATAAATCCTTAAAAAATGTGTATATTGTCGAAAATTTCTCTTTCCACGATATATCTATTTGTGCTATGTTATAATGCTTATTACCTAAACAATAATAATACTGAATATTTTTTTTTTTAAACACTAAAGTATATTTAATCACATCTCCCTAATAGCTGTCACAATCTGGTAATATATCCATACAGAAATTGCTCTAAGTTTATAAATAATAAAGATAAATACATGAAAATTTCTGGGAAGCTTCTGAAATGAATTTAATAAATGATATTCCCTAAAAAAGTCATCCTATTTACAATTTATTGAATCAAATAAACAATTTAATATAATAAAGGAATTACATACTTAAAACTTTTCTTATTTGGTCATTGCTCAGGGTTAAATTGTTTCACTGTTTTAAAATTTCAGTTAATATCTTGTGGCCATAATAACTTTCAAATAGTATGGGCATTGTTCACAAATCTAAAAAAACAAAAACAGGGGTGAAGCATCAGAGCTTGATGCAAGTGTAAATGCATGAACTCCCTCCCCACTTCCTTTGCACATTTACTGTAAAGCAGGGGGTCGATAAGAGGCTCTTTGGGAATTTTTCCCTTTTAACACTACAATAATCCTTCTCAAGCAATCTTTGCAACAAAGGTTGTTCAATTGCCAATTTCAGATGGAATCACATGAAGAAACTATTAACTAAATGACAAAATCTCTTTTTGGACTTAGTTTGTCACAGATTTCGTCCACTTAACTGAAATAATCTAAACCAAACATTCAAGATAATCTGTGTCATATGTAATTTACATGGCAAATTTGAATGCATCAGGAAATTATGGCCAAAAGAAATTATTTTTTAACAGTTTCATTATACACAGGGAAGTGAGCCCAACTAAAACCGCACTATCTTATTTCTTGCCTGATGGCAAATTTTTTGTGATATGTTTAAAGAAAATTTGATTAAAAAATGGGGAAGTTATTTAAGTTTTTATTTTTTAGTATGGAAAACCTGATTTTTTTTTTTGTGTGTGTGTGTGTGTGAAGGCAATGTTGCAAGAAAACTATCAAGCACTCAGCATCAACCTCGTAACATGAGTTATGTTTTGCATTAAGTACAAAGAACATCAGCTCATCCAGTAAAAAATTTCTTTATGTGTAACTTTTACCTTGGTTTTTGCAAAAAGTCATACCCACCTTCAGGTTTATCAATTTTTCTGGAGATTGAAAAGTTGGTCTTGACCTAAACTTGTAAATTTGCAATATGTCTCCAGTTTCATTGAAATCGGTTGAGAAATGTGGATGTGCATAAATAGCACGCACATACAGACATCTTTTATAGATATATAAAAAAAAATCAGGAAGTTTGTTGAAATAAGATGAGGGAAGTGTTCAAGATGATATTTACTTGTCTATGATTTCCTTTGAATGTGTCAACATTGACTCCTGAAAATTGTTCACTTGATTTGAATGTCAGCTCATCACCACTGTTGGCTTGGTTCCAGGTTAAATTTGTCAGCAGTACATCATTATCAGAGTCAAATTCTGAGATTATCTCAATATCTGGTAAATTCTCTTCATTTTTCCACGCCTATCTTTATACTGTGTTCGTGCTCTGTCTACATCAGTGAATCCTTCAAAAATATCATTACTTTCACTGTCAGACACCATGCTTGTTTATAAAGCTTTTCATCCAAAAAATAGCTTGGTTCTCTCAAATCTAACCACCCAGGTGCCAAAATTAAAATGTTCCCTGATTGGTTTAAACTAAAAATATCATCTCCCTAAATCATCCAATTACAGAGTGTTTTACATAAGAAACAAACATTCCAAAAAGCACAACCTCAGATGTGATCTGTCTGCAGGAGCAAAATGTAAACAATGTGAATTGTAAGAAAATAACAAAGTTAATTTTAAAATCTGATAATTAATTTTTTTTTTTTTTTTTGTTGATTACTTTTGCCCCTAACTATTCCACTGTTATATCAACAGTGTTTTAAAGTGAAAACCACTTCCAAAGCAGACTTTCTATTCTTTGGATACAACTAATTTGCTATCAGCACTTTCTCCAATCTCATGAATGGTACAATGATTTACATTATTTAATTTTGGACTAATGTCCTCATCTTTGCTGTTATCACAATGCTTCAGTCAAAGAATGTAAAATGTATCAGCAGCAGGGAGGCAATAAGAACATTGTTTAAGGCTGCAAGTTCTTCACTCGGGATTGTCCCACAGGATAAAAACCTAGTGGTTTAAAGTGTTAGTTTGTGAATTTGGTGTCATGGTAATTGTGAGTTCAATCCCTGGGCCAGGTAGTACAGTGGAAACAGGGTGAGCAATAATTAAACATAAGAGAGAACATGAGATATCCCTTGATATGGACAATGGAACAAGAACCATCTACCCTCATAGGTGAAATAAGTTACTCAGATTGACAGACCCCCTGAAGATAGATGGAGGGCATAATGGCTGAATCGTTGTGATAACAACACCCAAGATGAGGACATTAGACCAAATATGAATAATAGCTCCTCTTCCCAAAAATTAAAGCAGAAAAACATTTTAGACATGTAACATATTCAAAAGTGTATAATGGTACCTAATTATTGGTATTTAATGTAACTAGAACAAATTATAACGAAAAGTTAATATTTTTGCTATATCTGTTAGTATCTACTGATATATATATATATATATATAAAATACACACACACCATTAATAAAACTGTTACTGGTCTAAAGAAGTTCCTTCTGAACCTGAAATTCATTGCGTTTCCATTTTTGTCATTCAGTTGCCAACATCTATTTTTTTTTTTTTCTAACATTTAGTTTAGCTTATAAATTTTGCTAATTTTATTTATTAGTTTCTTTCTTTCTTGACTTGATACATTTTGCACACAAGCCAGTTATCTTTTACACAATTATCCTTTTTTGGGAAGGAAAATAGATTGTCTGACTAAAGTTTGAGATTTTGTTTATTTTGTAAATTTTGGCTTCACATATTGTAGGTTCTCTTTGACTGCTATGGAAAGCTTAAATATGCAGATTTTGGATTGTCAAAAGCAGAAGAAGAAAATCTGGATGAAGTATTTGAGAAATTCATGGAACTTAGTGAAATTGGAATCAAAGCTGATAAGGAGTTGATCAAGGAAAGATCTACAAAAGGTTTGGATTTTATAGTTTCCTACATTTTTGGATAGTCATTGGAAGAATTTTTTCTTCACCGATTCAGTCCTACCACATTGAATAAAAGAATAAATGTACTCCTACTTATAGACCGTTTAACCTTGTAGTACCTATCATTTCACTAGTGGGATATTTGGAAGACTTGTTTTATTTTGGATACCAGATATGAATTGTATTTAATACTAAGTGTTGACAACACATTGTATTTTAGTCTTTTCCGTGACTGATAAAATCATCAAAATTAATGCTTGTCCAGTATTAAAAAAATGTCTTGAAATGTGTACCACTAGTGGAACAATAATTTTTAACAATTAAAAGGTTAACCCCAACGAGAGTTGACATGTATAATTGGCCAATAAAGAATTGGTGTGGTTAGCCTGGGTGACCTTTTCTACTGCATAGTGAGTTTGAGCCTCACTGGGTGCCCCATAAAAAATGAAACATTAACCTTATAGTGTCCATTGTTCCTTTAGCAGAACAGATTTTAAAACCTGTCTATATTTCTGAGATGGGGTATTGTAACTATTAAAGGCAGAATTCACCAACAAACAGTACAGCATGCTGTTTCCAAATTTCTGGCAGAGTGAATTGTGTCATTGTGCTCTTTTTCTCACAGATGTCGCCCAACTGACCCTACTTGTAACTGTTTACATTGTTCAGAATCTTGTCCTCATCTTTATTGTCATATTCACAATAAAGATGAGGACAACAGTTTGAACAATGTAAGTATTGTAAGATTTTTTATTATTATTATTATATCCCAGATCAGTATTCATTGTATTTTAACACAATGTGTAAGCATATATATTGTGAATAAAATAAAGAAAAATAAATGCTCATTTAGTATTTAAAAATTAAAGAACTTTACGTTCCCCTGAATGGAACAATGGACACTACAAATAAAAAAAAAAAAAATCAAGCTATTCATTAAAATCTCAGATTCTCTGTAGCATGTACTGGGTGCGATGGATAAATTGTCGACTAGACTATGCAAAAATGAAAATAGCACTGACATCTCATTTTAACAGCTATATTTACCAAAATGACACAAAAATATCTTTAAATACTAAAGAGTAAATTTATTTGATAAAATTGCCATTGGCTTCAACAACGATCTCCAGACAACTTTGTGATTTCCTGCAGCTCTTTTGGACTGTCTACTTGTTTAAGTTGGTGAATGCTGCCTTCAGTTCATCTTTGGTGTTACAAGGAGTTTTGTTCATCTCTTTCTCAACTGTGACCCACACATAATAATCAAGGGGGTTGCCATCTGAGAAGTTAGTTGACCAGATGTAAGGGGTGATGAGATCGCAGAAATTGTTCTCTTGCTTGTGCAGCATGGTGCAGTCCTGTTACCAGACATAGGGTCTTCCAGCAGTCACCCTCTTCACCCAGGGCAACACTACCTCCTCAAGGCACTTGATGTAGACCTCCATGTTGAGTCTGAGGCCCTGTGGGAAGATGAATGGAGGCATAATGTCACCATCACTAGTGGTCACACCAAACACTTTCTTAATCATCATTTGACTCATCTAACTTGTTCCAAATCCTCTGCAATGTCCTCAGATTGACACCCTAACACACTGATATGTTTGTATTAGAGCTTCCGGCATGAATGACAAACAGTACAGCATACTGTTTCCAAATTTCTGGCAGAGTAAATTGCGTCATGGTGCTCTTTTTCTCACAGACAGTGCCTAACTGACCCTACTATGCTGTGCTGTCAACGAAATCAAAAACAATTCACATGCGTGAAGATAAAAATATAAAATGGTGACAATTACCCATCGCACCCTGTATTTTGTTATATAATGTGAATAAAAAAATGTATTTGAGATTTCCTTATCATAACTTTCATGTTCTTTTTTTTTTTTTTTTTTTTTTTTTTATACAGGTTCTCCAACTTATATGGCTCCAGAGGTTTTGCAAGGTGGTGGTATGACTATCACATCAGATATGTGGTCTTTAGGTTGTGTTCTTTATGAAATGTACACAGGTAAGTTGACTTATACATTTAATTTTTTATTGATTTAGTCTGTTTTAAAAAAAAAAATGCTTTGTTTTGTTTATAGAATTTTTATCCCAGATCAAAAATGGTAAGCAGAAAAAACCTAGTTTTCTTTCCTCTCTGTAAGATGAATTTCAAATTCTCCTTCCATAACACTTTCCCTAAAGACATTTCACTTTGTACATTGCTCCTATCATTGGTCGATATTTGCCTTTCGGCAAGGAGTTTTCATTATACATATTCATTGCTTGTTTTACATAGACTGGCCCAGAATGGTAAATTAATTGTAGGAACACTTCATGGGCATGGAATTCTAATACTGATGGATTACCTTTGTTTAAATTTTAGATATAAGACCAACATGGCTCAAAGACGAGAGATGGCTACAAGGATTTTAAAGAGTCAATGTGTCTCCTGTACCTACATTCTTTAATGATTCTAGCCAGCATATGGTGAATTTTTAGCTATGGGTTTGTCATGCATTCTTTTGATCGTCTCCCACTCACGTCCTCTATAAATTGTTACCATTCCTACTATCCTTTGTCTAAAAGCCAGATAAGAAAAATAAATTGTTCTTCATTGATGCAGTCTAATATAGCATTGATGTCTGAAGAACTAAAGTCAGAGATAACACAGAACACAACACTTGCACTTATTCAATTCTAATTGATATTATCTTTCTCATATCCATTTCTATTTTGTAGGTCATCCCCCATTTGAAGCAGAAACTCTGACGGACCTTGTGGAGAAAATTTGTAATGATGATTATCCGCCCATAAAAGTAAAAGGTAAGTTGCAGTTGACAAATTATTAAAGGTACTACCAAGTGTCGTTTGGTTGGTAATATTTATTCTTGACAGTGAAGACCACATACAGTATGAATAACACACAAAAAAAAAATATGGATTTCTGTTAGTCAGTTCTACTCTAGCCACTAAATTCATGTGACCTTGCACCAATTAAAAGAAAGAAATACCAAGACTTAGAGAAGAATGGTGATGCTTGGGCTGTTGCTTTGGATCTTTCAAATGCATTTAATGGGGTTTGGTGAATTGGTCTTCTTAACTTGAAAGTTTATGGTATTTCTGGATTAATTTTTAATCTGATTCAATCTTTCTTATCTAATCATGAACTGAAAGTAGCCTTAAATGTCCAGTTCTAAATCTTCTTGCATTCATGCAGGTGTCCCCCAGGCAATATACTTAGACATATGTTGGTCTTAATTTTCAACAACCTTCTTTATGGCATTAGTTCTCAACTCCATATTGATGCTAATGATGCAACTATTTACTCCTGTCTTAATAGTAAATCTGATTGATTCAATAAAGTCAAATGGGTAGCTGATATCATAATGATCTACACTCTGTGGTTAACTGGCAAAGGATGAGTTGTTAATTTTAACACCTCTAAAATGAAACTGCTCTCTATCAATAATCTGAGAGACACCTTTCTGCTTTCCAACAGTATGGCTGATGCTAACCTCAAGGAGAGTGTTTTGTGCCTTCTTTGGCTAACGTTGTCTGCTGACATGAATTGGAAAGATTATATTGAATCACTTGCTCAGTCTGTTGCTAGAAAAGCTGGTTCTGTATTATGCTAGACAATTTTTCTTGCCTGAATTTGTCTTACAGATTTACAAGTCTATGATTCGTCTGTGCATTGAATATTGCTCTTACATCTGTTATATATTTAGAGAGCCTTGATAAAATCCAAAGAAGAACCTGCAATGTCATTGTTCCTCACTTGGCATCTTGGATTCAGTCACTTTCCCACCATTATAACATAGCTTCCCTGTGCTTTTTCTGTGAATACTTTCATGGTAATTGTTCTGATAAACTTTCCTTTATGGAACCTAGACTCTATGAATTTAAGCTCAGTACTAGATTGGCTACAATGTTTCATCATTTTACAGTTAAAATGGCTGCTAGATGTAGCCGTAAGTTCTATTCTAAGTTTCTTCTATAGCACTTCTTGCACATGGAACTCTGTTCTGACTTTTTGCTTTACAGTCAAATTTGATCTTTAAAAATTTAAATGCAATGTCAATCATTATGTTGTGTCTTCTTAATTCTTGTTCTTTTATTGTTCCTTCTCCTTAATGTGTGCATGTTTTTTTGGGGTTTTTTTGGGGGGGGTTCTTCTTCAGATTCTTTCACACTCAGTAACTCCCTGTGTGTTAGTGGCTTTGTTGTCTTGCTTGGGATGAAATTATTAAAAGAAGAAGTCTTTCCAGATAGTTTTTAGTTTTGTAACAACTGCTATTGTTTGTGCTGTTCTTGAAATAATTCCTATTCTGGAGTCATTTTTGCTGATGATTGAACCAAGATATTTGTGTTGTCCAAACTACTTTAATTTCCTGACTTCTGACCTTTATTTATTAGTGAATGTAAATCATTTTGCCATCAATAAATTACCTGTTTACTGCTATCAGAAAAAGTACTTTTAAAAATATTTGAACAAGATTCATGGAAGTAAAACTTGGTTGCTATTGGTATTGGAAGTGTAGTTTGTTTTTGAAAGAATACAACACAACAATAATGAAAGATATAATAGACATCTGACTAGAAAAACAATGTTAGCTGCCTATATTTTTGTAGGATGATCAAAGGCCTATATGTAAAAAGTATATATTTCTTTTTTTTTATCAAATCTCCTTTCTTGTAAAGGCACTTAACCGACCAAGGACAGTCCAGAACTCAATTCTAACTGTAACTGTTAATCCAAGTCTATGTCAATGTATGGCTTTATTGTTACTTCTTCCCAAGAGTTTTCATTTATTTATCTATTATTTTCATCTGTTTTGGTCAAGTGGGTGGCCACCCTGAAGACCCACTTCTCAGGTCTCATCTCTGGTTATAAAATAAAACACTTGATACTACAGATGAAACCATGCACCATACCCTTCTATGTGGCTGTCCAAAGTATAGTGTCACATAATAGCAACAATGATAAGGACAACAGCTCAAGTGTAAACAATAATAACTGATCATCTCAAAAAATTAAGACAGAAAAAAAAAATGATTGTTGCTTTTAACTGAAACCTTAATCTCCTTTCTTTTTTTTTCTTTTTTTTTTCTCCAGGTTCTCTGCCATCTTTAAAACCATCTCCCGAGTTTCAGGATTTAATACAAAAGCTTTTAGAGAAAGATCCATCTCAAAGGTAAAGAACTGTAAAATAATTTGCAAATTTATGGTCCAAACTATTTTAAATTTTTCTTTTTTGTGCAAAGTTCCTTCAGGACATGGACAGTCATGGCTCTACACAACCTTCTTTTGTTGCTTTAAGTAATTTTTTTCACCTTTTACTGTCCTTATATATTCTATCTATCCATTCATACAGATTAGTAATTAACTCAGTTTCCTCTTATTTCTTTTGTTCCCATTCCACTGCCCATGTCTAGGGATATCGTTTCTAGTTCTTATTTTAGTATGGCTCAGTTATTGCTTGCCCCATTTCCAAGTACACACTGCCTGGCCCGGGGATTAAATTCACAATTACAATGTCACCAATTTCACAGAATAACACTTTAATCTCATTAGGCTATCGTGAGACAATCTCCTGGCAGGTTACCTAGATCAACATACACCTGATGAAAGCCAGTGGCCTAGTGGCCGAAACATTGTAATAACAGAGATGAGGAGAATGGTCTACATATAAATAATGTAACTAAAGATAACTCCTCATCCCAGAAATTCCGACAGAAAGATGTTCTTGATTGACAAAAGAAGAATGCGGTATAAAAAAGAGCAATACTGAGTAATTTAACTTTGACATAATCAAATACAAAAGTAGCCATTTAGTACAACTTATTCAGGAAGCTGTAATCAGGTATCTTTTTTTTTTGTATGTTTTGAATAAAGAAAATTTTGTTATAAACAAAGAAAACTGTACTGAACTGCTACGTAACATCAACCTTCCTATATGACAGAAGAAGAGGCTTGAAGCAACAGAAATGTAACCTACAGGGAATTTTAAACTGAACCCTTTATTTAATCTATGGGGTTGGATTATTCTTGTTCCACTACCCAAGAAATAAAGTTCTGTGAAATGGCTACCCACTAATGGATCAATATAACATTGTTATTATTATCCAGGTTACGGTTATTGCTCTCATTATTGCTATCATTGAAGTTAGTGAGATCATTCGTAAGCATAGATGACATGGAAATATTGCTGTGAATGTTGTCCCCAATTTCCTTATCTCCTTCATCAAAACATAAACTGGCAAAATTCAGAATTGCAGTTCACTTCGGGAATTCTCCATTTTGGTGTACCGCTATGTTTGAAAAATGTACAAAAAAAAAACATCATTCAAATACAGATAAAAAATTAATCCCGTGGTTGTAGCCATTAAAGGAAGTGTTTTATAAATTCATTTCCTTTGCTAAAGAATGCAAGAAGATTTGGTTGGTTTAACATGACTTATATGTACTGTACATTTTTTCATGCAGAGTTGGATGGTATATAATGGAAGTGCCAGTGCATTAATGTGTGGTATGGGATGTGAAGAGTTAACGTTAGAGTAAAATATTTCAATTGACTTTATTTGCTCAGTTTATTTGCAAAAATGTTACAAAGCTTAAAAAAAAAAAAAAAATCTTCATTTTATTTGCCATGATAGCAAGCAGAATGTCTTCATCGATGTCAGAAAATCATATGGAGTGTAATTGTCTAGGTTAAAATGACCCTGACAAAATCTCTGAAACCACTTTTTGACCATATGGAGAGCTGGAGCATAATCCAAATAAACCTTCTGAATGTTTCCTATTGCAGTTTTCATTGAGCATATGGTGCAAGTGAAGTTTTTCAACATCCATCTTTAAGGCATTCATTTTGGGGCAAAAAAAATCAACATTCAACAAAATCTGACTTGCAACTGAATAATGAAGTTTTGATCTAGAATACACCAGGAATTGGTATTAAAACAAACACTAGTTTCAAGTTGTGGTCATTTTATACTAACAATGAAAATCAGCCAAAAAATTTTGCAATGATCTCATAGTATGACAAAGTAGGACTTTCAGCCTTGATTGGCAATCAGTCTAGGAGAATGACAACTTTGAATTCAAAACTTGTTTGACATGACACTAGCAACTACATCCTATGAAAAACCTACTTGTTATGGTAATTGATGCAGTAACAGTGTGTTGAAGCTGTGGCCTCCATGCACTATAAGTAGAATGTACAGGACTTGAGAGAGATGTACAAATTTGTTCTTTAAAAACATTTAATGCATTTTTTCTTCTTTGTTACTGATATTTTATTTAATTCTTTTATTTAATTTTTCTTTTCTCCTGTAGAATGACATGGCCGACTCTTGTTTCTCACCCTTTCTGGGAGGGTCTGCTTGATAACATTGCCCAAGAGTTTGTGACGGCATCTCCAGCTGATTCCAAAACCTCAACAAGTGTACATTCCTTGAATTCCAGTAGTGATTTCAGTTTGGCAAGCGACAGTTCTAAGTGTCAAGAAAAAACACCAATTTCACCACTGTTACATTCTGACCATGTTGGCTTTGATACAAGAGACAGTGTCAGAATAAGTAAGAAATTTTTCATATTATAAAATATATATAAATATTATGAATTTATTTTTTGGAGAGCTACAATGTGTTCTTTATTACTATAAAGTGCAAATATCAGTATATAATCTGATTAACAAGAAAAAGACACCCAAATTGGCTTATCGGTCCTCTCTCATATGAATGCCAAAGACCAAATGTTATATAAGTATATGAAACTTACAGGTTAATTACAGTAGAATCCCTCATATCCGGAGTGCCACATATGCGGACATGATTTTAATATGTATATTTGAACTATTTGGGTGATATGTAACTGGTTTAAAATTTCTGTTTTCAGGAAATTTACTTTGGAAAATTGCTTATGCTTATTTCAGCCTATTGGCTTGTATTGGTGCAAAAGATGATGGGAATAAAAGGAAAACAACAGCTTTGGAGTTATCACAAAAAAAATGGAAAGAAAGCAAGCATTCAGCTATGACTATTGCAATAACGCATGCAGAGTTAAAGTGTCTTTCGTTTAAAAAATTTCAAGATCAAAAGCAAAATAAAATGCAGAAAAAGTTGAGAATGACATTAGAAGAGACAGAATCATCATTCAACAGTGAATAAAAAATCCTTGTTACATTATGTTTTGCATACATGGCATACTTAATTTAATGAATTTTAATTAATATTACATAATTTATTTCTTTTTTCTTCAAATTAATTTCATTATATTTCACTCTCCATTAGCTTATTTTGTTTACTATAAAACATTAAAAATAAATGTTAAACCTGATTTCAGTTCTTTTATTTTAATTTAAATATAACCTCTCATATCCGGAAGGCCCCCTTAGTCTGGTTATCAGGAATTCTACTGTACTTTGAAGACCACCAACCATTCATACTTACAGAGAGATGGCTGGAATGACTTAATGTAGACAGATTCCAGCACCTTTAAATGGCATATGGAATTAACCTTCCTCAGTACTGAGAATATGTCTTGGTTGCAAGACTAGGCACATTGCTGGTCTTTGAGTAAATGTTCAGCTATTGCTACAATTTAAGTCTCATTTTTTCTTTTCTTTTTTTTTATATTACCACTTTATGGTAATGTTATTTTTTGTTACTTCTCTTTTTCATTATGAATTTTCTTTATTCCTTTTTATGAGGTATAAAGTATTAATTTTTTTTTTTTTTTTTTTTGTAATATTGCAGGTTCATCCATTTCAGATTTGAATAGTTTTAAACCAAAAATGGCTAATGCTAGTGATACTGGTTTTGGCGGTGGACTTTTCACTCTCAGGTTGGATATAATTTTATTACGTTTTTAAAATCACTATTTTGAAAAAATGACTAATTACTTTTAAGGTATTCAATTTAGTCTCTTCTGTTCTTTTTAGCTATAACCTAATTTTCTCATCAGAAGTTGAATGCAAATTTTTCTTAAAAAGTTTTTGAAACTTGAAAGGAAATTGCCATGTTTTGCATTCTCTATTCAGTAATAGGGTGACAAAATGCAAAGATTTTATGTAACAACCTTTATCCTCTAAAAGGACTTCATCAGACTAAAATAACATTTTTATTGATAGAATTATATTTATGGAGAAAGAAGTGTTCGAAAATTTTAGTTATAATTAAGCACCATGAGGAAACATAGGGATGCTAAATTTTAACATTTTTGTGTCCAATGTTTCTAGACGGATTTTATTTAGTGCCCCAACACTTGTTTTGCTCGCTGTTGCTTTTAACTGTTCCTCACTGTGGTGGCAGAATAAGGTTTGTTAAAGGTATAATGCTTTGAAAATCTAGATACAAATTTAACCTGGAAGACATGGAAATCAGTGCACCTTCTATACATTTTTGCCTTAGTAAATTACCCTTTTTAATTAAAGCAGTATTTTTCTTAAGTTGTAATTATGGTCAGGTTCATTAACCCTAGAACACTAACCATGGGTATATAGTACCCCATACAAATTTTCCTATTTTTTATTACAATTTTCAATACCTGACATTCTTACCTAAATAATGTTTTTCAGTTCCTATTAATGCTAACTCAAAGTACAAAGTTTGAAGTGCCTGCATGTAAAATATTTCAAATACAGATTTATATTTAATATTTTTTTTTATATTTTCAAAATTGAGTATGATATACCCATGGTTAGTAGTGGTGTAACTTTAATTGATGGTTAGTGTTCTAGGATTAAAATCAACACCTCATGTACTGTGTGTTATTTTGTAAAAGATATCTTTTGTGTTCAGATAAATTCTTCTTAGTCTCAATAATGTATTTTTGAGACATTTATGACAGTCTATAATGTAAATTCTGTTTTGAGTTGTTATTTTGTCTTATACTAAGTCTCTTAGGTTGTCCCAAAAGTTCGTAAACACTTGCAAAAAATTGAAATTTTACTCGCCAAGTAATAACAAAAACAACAAAAATTATTCCTCAAAATAAAGACCATCATTTTCCAAGACTTTCTGTCATCGATCTGCAAGCTTTCGGATCTAGTGAAAGTACCATTCAGCCGGCTTCGAATCAAAGAATTCTTGACGCGCTTCCTCGACTTCATCAAACGAGTCGAATCGGCGGCCCTTCAGAAAGTGTTGCATTGAGCGGAAAAGGCCGTAATCTGATGGAGCACAGTCAGGACTGTAGGCTGGATGTGGCAGAACCTCAATGCCGTCCAGCTCTTCAAACTTGTCTTTGGTCTTCCTGGCGGTGTGTGGCTTGGCATTGTCCTGCTGCATCAAAGCGCGCTTTCAGTTGATCAGAGCTGGGTACTTTTGCTTAAACTTTTCGTAGACCCGCTCCAGTTGCTGACAGTAAAGTTCGGCACTGATGGCACGGCCATTCAGAACCAACTCAAACTGCACGATTCCTTCAAAGTTCCACCAAACGCACAACATGACTTTCTTGCCGAATCGATCTTGTTTTGGAACCGACTGTGTCTCTTGCCCTTTCTGAACCCATCACATGTCTTGATTGTGCTGGACCAGATAGACCCATTTCTTGTCCGATGTCACAATGCGCTTCCAAAAACGCTCGTCCAATGGATTGCTGAGCAATTGACGGCAAATTTCAACTCGTCTGTTGGCTTGTGCTTCAATGAGTTTGTGCGGATCTTGGCGTAGCTTTTTGTGAACAAAATCAAGTTGCTTCAAGTGTCGGTGAATTGTCGATTTGCCAACTTCAAGCTCATCAGCCAATTCTTGAGTGCTCGATGAAGGCGCAATGTCCAACCCGGTTTGCAAGTCTCCATCATCCAACTGTAACGGCCGTCCCGAACGAGGCTTATCTTCAAGACTCATGTCGCCAGAATCAAAACGCTTATACCACTTTGAGATCGCCGCATATGCAATTGTTCCTTCACCTTCAGCAGCACAAATCTCTTCTGCAGCTTTTCTGGTTGAAAGACCTCGCTTCCAGCAGTAATGAATCAAAACTCGCAGCTCAATTTTATCAATTGCCATCTAGAATACAAAGATGAAGATCACTATAACAATATAAATGCAAAAAACAATTAAATAAAAATTTTAATGAAATAAAATTTTTTCCAAATTAACAATAAAGTAAAAAAAACAATTAAAAATTGCATAAAAATTCAATTTTCGCAAGTGTTTACAAACTTTTGGGACACCCTAATATTATTTTAGAATTAGTAATCCTGGGTATGACAGTAAACTAAAGAGTAGAACAAATTATACCAAAAAAATATGATCTAGAAAAATATTCTTTTTTTAACGCAATAAAATCTTAACCAACCTTTATGCAGTCAGGCTTTAAATTTCACATTTTGCGTACAAAGAAGTTGACTTTTCAAATTAATTTGTAAAACCATATTCTTTTGCTTTAAGAAAAAAACTTAAAAATTCAGCTTAAAATTTTCTTTTTTTTTAAATCATTAAATTGAATATAACAATGTAGGTTATATAATTTGGGAATTTCATATGCCAAAAACATGTTAACTTGATTAAATATTTGCAATTTCAGCACTCGACCTTCCTCAACAGTTCCCTCAGAACTACATGCGGTCTCACCAGCCCAGTCAAGTATTTCTCCCAGACTTCCAGAATCAGTGCTGTCTTTCAACAAATCTGATAAAAGCATTACAGAAGTCCTCTATCATCCAACAGACTTTAGCATCACACCGATCATTGATAATCCTAAAGTTAGAATTGTTCCATTCTTTACTTTGTTTCAAGAATTTTTAGTATTTTTCTGAAATGTTTGTCACACTATTTCCTTACATATTGAACAGATTATGAAATGTTTTTACATTTCAAAATAAATTTTTAGCAATATTTAAGCTTTCATTGTAGAAATCAAGTAAACCTCTAAGACTTTTTTGTATTTGAAATGGAACTTATGAAAATTTAATTTTATCCATCATCAAGATTACAGAGAATAATTCTTAAACTTGTCATTCTTGAAATTGTGTTTTCCTATTTTTTTTTTGTTTTCTTGCTTAAATGCAATGTAGATTTACAACTAAATTTTCACTTTGAAAGTCTTGCAGATTTTACAGTCTGCTTGGTTATGGAGATTTTTGTGGGGTGAGAGCAGTTTTTTTTTTTTTTTTTTTTTTTTTTTGTGTGTGTGTGTGTGCTTGCTTGTGTGGTAAGGGGATAGTTTTTTGGGAGTCTGCTCGTTCTCTTCCACCCTTCCTTATGTGCTCCTCCACTTGTCCTTACATCCGCTCTGTCCCTTCCCCCCTTCCCCTTATGCCCTGCTTTGTCCCTTTCCCCTCATGCCCCACCTTGTCCCGTTCCCCCTCACACCCCGCCCCTTTCCTCCCCTTAGGTGAGGGGAGGCTTTAAAAATTACCTCTTAAATTTAATGATAGTTAACAATGTTTCACTTAATAATTTTAGCATGTTATTTTATCAAATTCAATTAATAAAATGATTTTATAGATAATGGTTATTACTTTTTTTTTTATTCTTTTTTTTATCTAGATAACAAAAGTTCTTCCCTTAAAATATGAACCCAAAGTTCTGCCTGTTCCAGCTTATTCAGGTGAGGAGGCATTTTTTTTAATTTTTTTTTTTTTTTTTTTACCATACTTTCATTTTTATAAAATGATCCCAAATTTTCACAGTAAGTAGTTTGCCTATTTCTCCTGAACATCTTCATTTCCATTTCAGTGAAGAAAATCTTATCTTTGTCTGAGAAAGGCTTGCAAAAACATGTCACCATGATTTTAGAATCCGTCCTGAATGTAGAAAAAGGTCCACCGTCACTGAAGAGGTACCACTTTATCAGCTATATTGGCACTTTGGCTGGCCACTCAACAATTGCCAATGTCCTCACCAGGCTAGGTCTGCTGACCCATTTAGCCAGACAGACCAAAGAAATGCACAATGTGGACATGTGAGTTGCTCTTGAACATCTCAAAGTTAAATTGACCTCTCAACTCAAAAATAATTATCATTCCTATTGAAGTTCGCACTCTTTGCATTTCAGATAAATAAAAATGTTTAGCATTGCATTCCAGCAGAGCATAATTAATCATTTTGCATCTGTTTTCACCTGACTTGTTTCTTCATTAATAAACTCTACCTGTAAATTCATTTCATGATATGGCTCATTCAGTACTCATCCTTTCACTGATGTCAAAATGATCAAATTTTGAATATTGTTTGTTCGTTTAATATACTACATTTATTAGGAAATATATTCAGTTTTAATCATTTGTGCGCATTGAAAAGTAGTTTCATGGAACAACCCCCCCCCCCACTTCATAATAGATTATCTACTTTACAAAGTATGTTCTCATTTGAAATTTACTTGGATAAACAAAAAATCTCTCTTGTTTTTCTTTTTAGGTTCTAATTGATGTTACTCTACATTAAAATAAATAAATAATCATAATAACAAATCTTCGGCATCAAAGATAGTGAAGTAGAGATTTATTGGTCATGTTTAATTTCCTTTCAGGGATTTTGAGATGTGGTATTGTATGCTTTGCCATTCAAACCAGCATTTTTCATTTTGGTGGTTTTTATTTTGTTTTTATTTTATTTTATTTTTTATCATTTCACACCAACCAAGGCAATAAAGCCACTGAGATGCAAAGGATTACTGAGTGTGAAAGAATCTGGGAAAAAATCATTTTTCAGGAGAGAGAACAATAAATAAACCGGATTCAAGAAGATGAAAATGACGATTAACACTGAACTTAGTTTTTTATTAGATTAAACTTTAATTTATTTTTAAGATCAAAGTTAACTGAAAAACAAGAAGCCAGAAGTGAGTTCCGTAAGCAAGAATTACAAGAGAAGGAACTGTCAGCATAGAACTTATGATTACATTGAGTCATTTCATCTGTAAAAATATGTGACCTAGCTGCCAAATTCATAAATCTTGGTACCAAAGAGGAAAGCATATCAGAAGAATTACCATGAAAATATTTATAGAAAAGGTATAGGGAAGGTTCATTATGACAGTGGGGAAAATGACTGAAGCTGAGATGCCAGGTTTGCACAAATAACATTGCAAATTCTTCATTGGATTTTATCAAGAATCTCTAGATCCATAGCAGAGGTGCCAGACCAGATGTAGGAGTAATATTTAAAGCATGGATGAATGGTAGACTTATAAATATGTATGATAGAATCTGGTGAGAAAAATTGTCTTGTGCAACACAGTGAACCAACTAGACCTAGCCACTAATTCAATATAATCAGCCCACTTCATATCAGTGGAAGACATTGGCTGGAGAAGGTGCAGTGAGTTACTCTTTTAGAGGTTAGCATTAGCCATGCTGATGGAAGCCAAAAAGTTACATTAAGCTGATTAAAAGAGAGCAGTTTTCATTTTGGAGGGGTTAAAATAACAAATCATTTCTTGCTCTAGTTAACAGTATAGATTATCTTTATAGATCAGTTGCCAATTTGAGCTGATGGCATTGGGAATTTGAGCTGATGAAATTTAGGAACAAAGTTAGTCTGAAGATAGAACCTTGGGAGACACCAGCATTAATGTAAAAAGATCTAGAAGATCAAAAGAATTCAAGATAACTTTCATTTCATTTGGTTAGAAAGATTGAACCAAATCAGAAATTTGTCCAGAAATACCATAACTCCTCAACTTCTGAAGATCAGTATGTCAAACCCTGTCAAATGCCTTTCAGATATCTAAAGCAGCAACCGAAGCTTCACCATTCTTATCTAAACCTTGAAAAGCATTTGTATCAATAACTGTTATCAGCAGCTGACCTAGAGATGTGAAAACCATATTGTTTGTCCAAAAGGAAGACCTTGTGAGGTGAGATGCTTAACCAGTTGATGAGATCCTCTAGGACTTTGTCAAAAAGAAGGAGAAAACTAATAGACTGATAGAAGGAACACAAGCTTCACTGGAGTTCTTTTAAAACAGAAACTGCAGAAGAGAATTTCCAACAAATAGGAAGAATGCAAAAAGCAGCAATACATTTATTGTGGAGATTAGCAAGAACGGGAGATGATTCCAGAGCACATTTTTTTAGGGCTGTTGCAGGGATATCATCAAGTCCACAAGCCCCAAACTTATTAGAGGTTATATCATACCTCTTTCTACAAAAGCTAGGCTTCATTGAAGACACATTTACAATTATTATGAGCAGACATAAAGATACATTTGTTGTGATCAGAACTATAATGTTGCTAAAGCTGGAAAAAGAGGGTCTATATTAGTTGGATGAACAGGTGTGAACCAAGAAGATTGTAGCTTCACCTGGTATTCCTGTGAAGTCACAAAAACATTGATGCATCCTGGGTAAGATGTCAAACTACATCCGTGTCCTGGGTAAGACGTTAAACTACATCCAGCAGCAAGACCTCTGATCAGGAGGTTTTGAGGAGCGTGGAACCACCTCTTAATTGCTGGTGTTCCCAGGGCCACCCTGACTCGAGGTACTAGCATGTGTTAGGGTCCCAGCTATGGGCAAATAGTTAACTATTACCAACAATACTTTTTTGAAAAAAAATTATTACCAACAATACAATTTTGAAGGAAAAATATTACCAGAAACAGATTTTTGAGAAAACAAAATATTACCAGCAATAAAAATTTTCGTCAACATTAAATAACCCATTGAGGTTGATATGCTGTAAAACAAAATAAACCAAACAAATCTAAACCAAAGAATACATACTCTATTCATACGAATATATCCTAAAAATGTTGTCGGTATTAAATAACCCATTGAGGTTGATATGCTGTAAGACAAAATAAACCAAACAAATCTAAACCAAAGAATACATACTCTATTCATACGAATCTATCCTAAAAATGTTGTCGGCATTAAATAACCCACTGAGGTTGATATGCTATTAAACAAAATAAACAAAACCAAACCAAATTATATTAGTTGGACAGACAGGTGTGAACCAAGA